ATCATAGTTAGATTAGATCTACAACCTAGAAGTGCAATCCGATTTTATATTGTTGTTACGCATAATTAGAATTTAACAAACTATAGGCACTGTCATCATCCTTATATTTTTCATTGGAGGTTGATTTAGAATACATAATACTGGCAAAACATTATAATCCGAATGTTTAGTTACCGGTATTTGTTGTATTATGTTTAATTATATTGAACATTATTTATTTGAAACTTAACAAAATAGGAACTTTCAAACCAGTTTGAAATATTAAAGGTAAACTCATTTTCCAAAATCTTCCAAAAAACTTTCTCATAGTAATTTAGGTTTAAAACTAATTAATTAGACGTAATGGTTTAACAATAAAAAATGATCTGTTCTTTCTTGATTAAAAATCAACAAATCTATCAATTGGTATTTTGTTGTGGGCTTGTTCTACTTTTGTTAAACTACAAGAGCTTTTTTGTGGACCAACATTACAATACCGTTTTAGTATCATCACAGATTGCTACCATGTGGCCGCCTTCACAGAGCTAGCGACACCGTTGCTGACCTCTTCGGCAGGTGACTCCAGGGACAACCTGAGGGTCGTAGCCACATAGAGATCTACGAGTCACATGGGGGGCTTGTCGAAGACATGTACCTAAAGAGGATCTCCAAAATAAGAAATTTATTTTATTTTATTTTGTGTGTATTTACGACAGCGGAATTTTTTACGTGTTGAAAGGGAACGGTCCAAACCCTTGGTCGTGTTACTATCTAACGTCGACCTTTTTGTTACATAGCATCATTAATTCATAGCCCAATGACAAATGGCATCTGGGTCTGGAAACGATCTCGCTTGGATTCAAACCAGCTACCTTTAGATTTGATTTAGGAGTCATCACGACTACCACTCTCAGCCCACAAGAACATCTGCCCTATATTGCACCCAAAACTACCCACCTCCTCGATTTATCTTCAGGACAACTATAAACTGCAGATCACTGGTAGTCCTCTTCAGACCCTTTAGTTCAGCCTATGCTTGAGCACGCCTCACAGACATGGCGTCCCTACCAACTTTGCCACATCAACATGCTAGAAGAGATACTTGAGCTTTTCAGGAGAATGCTTGGCTACATAATTGGCTTTGAATATCTCGAGACTCCTATAGTTGACTTGGAAATGCACTTCAGGCTGCAACCCCTACACTTAAGACGCAAGATAATGGACCTGTGTCCACTCTTCAGACTGGTCAATGGCCATATTGACTTCCCTTTGTAGGCTACTTATGTCCAGTCGACTTTGCGGCCCCTCGTTGAACGAGAGCCAACACCACTTTCTGGCGAAGATTCCTGCCTAATAGCCAAAGATTAATGGAATAGACTCCTTCAATGTATGATACAGCTACCACAAGTCCACAACGGTCTGTCGAGGTTAATAAGGAAGGGTGGCTTGATGTATGCTGAGGTGGATTTATTCGGTGTATCTCCTACGTAAATCAAGAAGCAAGTGTAGAAGCAAGTACTAATGAAGTTACTGTAGTTGTTTTCATGGCGATCTTTTTCCAGTTCCAAGTTATTTCATATCAATACATAAATTTCCACACTTTTACACCAACCTTTTTTTTTGGCGCAGATATTTAATGTCCAACTCAATTCTTATTTGTGGCAATTGTGGTAATTTTAAAATTCGTCTCCTTACTACTTATTTTAATAAAGACCAAATTCTAATCAGATCCTTTGTTAGTTATGATCAGTTATGTAGTTGTTCTGTCGTATATGTAGGTCTCTTTTTGTCAAAGTAAATGTCTGTAAAGTCTATCACATAATAAAGCCTGTTGTCATCCAGTTTTGTTACCTTCAAATGTCTTTCTCTTGTACACTGTATACCATGCTCGTTCGTGTTACCATCTCATATTTTTTATTAAAAATTTCCCACGAGTATTCATATTTTAAAAGAATAAAATCATTTTTTCACCTGTTTAAACTACACAAGTTGGTTTTATGATATTAAATAACTGGTCAATGATAACATTGAATATTATAAGGTTTACCAGTAGATTGCGGCACTATTATTTTTTTACATTTATGCCAACATCTAATTTGAACCAACTAGCAACAAAAAGCAGTGAAAAATGATAAGTTCACTTTTTTATTGTTTAGGGGCAGTGGTAGAACATTATGGCTATGGTAGATGTGCTTTACTATATAGCATACCGTAAATTTAAAGAATTGAATTTTCTTAAACCGTGTCTTAAACCCATTGCAAACACAAATCATGAGTATAACTGCAATAAGCATTTTATACTTATACGATACGCCAACCCCGTACGAAGGACGGGTACTCTGCTAGTAATAAATAAATAAGAGGAATCTTGGATTTGAGGTATTGCCATAATCATATAAAAGGGAAATACTATTGGCTAGTCGTTACTTTTAGTAGCACAATGTATATGATGAGGAAATCCAAACGATATTCCGAAGGTTTTTGAGTTGGTACATGATTATCTTGTGTTGAACAGTAGTAGAGTTGGTAGCACTGTGTAACTCGAGCCGTGACGTCACTTCTAAATCTGGCGGAATGTTCGTTCTAAACTCGTCTGACCTACCAACATCATCGCGCCTCTCTGCCTACAAGTTTATCGACAAATTCTGCCCAACCGTCTGCAGAGACTAATATTGCCCTGAAAATTAAAAATTACAATCATAGCCTGACGGCCAAAGCGTTTATAATTCACTGAGAATTGAATTAGGTTAGTTTAGGCGGGAAGTCGGCCGCCATCTTTGGCAATTTGAATTTCAGTTTTATGACACTGTAGTCTGCTAAAGTGGCCATTGATTTTTAGTGATTTTTCTTTACGACATAGGTAATTTTTAGTGTTTAATAGTTATGCGACCTCACTAAACCATTGATAAACCATGGGTAAACTAACATAGTTTTATTCTGCCCTCTCTTGTACCAGTTGTGTAAACATTTCCTAGTTTGCCTCCGTATTTTCTGTTACACTCAATTAAAAAAGGTATAATCAGTGCATTTTAAATGATAAAATTGAAAACTTAATATATTTTGTTTTGTTTTCTCACTACACTTTAATGCTCAGCTGACTAAAAATAAAAAAAGTTTTAGAGACATTTCACTGATTCACTCAATAAGTAACGTCACTCCTTTTTGGGAACAAGAGGAAATAAAGAGGTGTAAAATCTCTCTCATTCCTCCTATTAATATTACCTCAACAAACTATGAAGTCCAAAAATCTTAAACTTATTGTTCCTTTATGTGTAACAATAGATACAACCATACAACTGTCAATCACCTTTCATAATTTATTCCCATGTTGTTTGAGAACTGATTATTGTTTCCTTTAATGGAGTACACAAGTTTTTATTCACCATGGTCAGTATTTTTATGCCATGTGTTTGAAATGTGTCAAGGAACTGGCAGTGCAAGTATTGTTCTTGTTGTTTGTCATGTCAACTTGTTAGAAAGAATTATTGTTAAACAGTCTAGACAAAAGATACCTTGGTCCAGAAATGAACCACCAAGGAATGTATGTTTTAAGTACATCCATGCATAACATAATTATCTCCTAAACTGTTTCTTAACTTTTTTTGAGGAAACTTACTTATATTTTCTACTAATGGTGTGGTTTTTTAAAGAATTTAGTTATTATGTAAACGTCTTTTAAAAATTACGATTTATTGAGTTTTGAACAACGGAAACACAACACATTTGACGTGTTTTAATCTTACAACATCGCCAAAATATAATAAAACATCTCTAAATGTGCTTCATTGTAGTTTAAAATGCATGTATTTAGTCGAAGTTTCATGAATGGACGCGTGATTACAAAGAAACATTAAAATACAACGGAAAGATTGTTTACTTTCATAAAGGAAACCCTTTAATATTATCGGCAAATAAATAGTCTTTATTGCAAATCTTTATAACATTTTAGAGTTACATAGCCAGCAAAGGATAAAATTGTAGAATTAGTATAAACAATGTAAAATGTGTTCATGTGTAACATGTGTGCCTTTGCATACATTTTTAATACAAAACAAATATGGACAATTTTACTTGCTTCCTCACTAGTACAGTGGAAACGCATTAACAACACAAATCATTTTCACCAATCAGATATAGTCTTATTTGGTCCACGAAACAACTTAAGTAAATAAATAGTCATTGTTGGGAATTTTAATTTTGAAGTGCCACGGTGACCACAACTTAAACGCAAGTGTTAAACATGTAAAGTATGTTCAACTGACAACTTACAAAATTTAAAAATCCATAATACTTTTAAAATAAATAATATACTTGTAAATCATTCAAGAAATTGAATGGCATGTTTTCATGTCAGGCTATAAAACACCATCACCACAACTGGGGCAACTTAAAAGTCGGTTGGAGGGGGTTGATGCGTCGCTGAGGTCGGGGAGGGGGGTTTTGTCTCAAACATCGCCAATCTATTCATTGGACAGTGCTTGTAAGTATCAGCTCTCCTAATAGCAACAGTAAAGAAATAAATAATTATAAGTGACTGCATTATGTTGTGTGCAAATTAATAGTCTTGTACCTGTGTATTGAAGCCTTCGTTAGAGTCGAAGTGGGCCAGGGTCAGCATTTAACACGCTAAACTAACACAAACATTAGTAATTGGGAATTGGGATGACAGTGATTTACTCGTTTGGCTTCGAATATGTTATTTTGATTTTGGAACACATAATTACCATGTTGGAGGATGATTTGGAAATAATTGGAAAGTCATGATACGAATTTAATTTGAATGATTATTAACACAAAAACAATAAATTTAAATAAAGTGCATAATATGAGTCTCTTATAAATCAATGCAACTTCAATTAAGAGTAACACTAAATTTTATATTTTTTCATGGATTTTCAATTCCTCGTAGGTTACTCACATTGAAAATATTAAAAATATCTATTTCTAAAAATCGTAGGGGGCGGGGGCGACTGCCGGAGGGGGGTTTTAGTGGAGGGGTGCCCAAGAGCCATCAGAGCTCGCAGTGGCACACACGAGATGTAGCCTCTAGGAGCTATATAAAGAAAGAGTGGTGCCCGGCGGGATCAGTTTACTCGAGGGGGGGTGGGGGGTCGCCCATTTCGGGAACCCGGGGCCTCAGCCCCCCAGTCCCGACTGTTCCAGGGCACCGCTCGTATCAGGTATGTGATAACGTTTTTGTTGATAAAGTTTGTCGCGAAATTTTGATTTTCGCACCGCGGTGTGGTAAAGTGTCAGTGTCGCCGAGTTGTCCTGTGAGTGGGGAAAACCGAGTGATTACGTTAAATAATTAAACCCGATTGTGTGAAAATAGTGTGTTTACAGGTTTGATTGTGGCGTGGCTGAATGAAGTTTTGAATATTGGTGTGGATTAATTGTAATGACCTTGACTTTGAAAACGGCTAAGTTTCACTTTAAAATAACAGCTTAATTTTAGTTTGGCTTAACTACCTTTTGAGTAGAGATTTCAGTTTGGCATTATTTTGTTAACTTTTTAGAACATACATATTTTTTATGTAAATATTAAGTCTCAAAATGTGCATACTAAGATATTTAGTGAGATTAACAAATTTACGATTTAAATATTTAAGGGTGTTATTACAAACAAACAAACATTTAAAACAATCACAGCATAACTATCAAATCGGCAATTTCCAATAATATTTTTGCATTTTAAAATATTAGGCCTACAACTATTACTAATACAAATAAAATATTTTATATTTTGAGTCCTCATAACAATATTTCGTCCCTTTTTTCCAACTATAATAATGCGTTTGATCTAAGTAAGTGAGATTTAAATAAATTAGGCTATTAATGTAACAAAATGTGTATGTGTGTTTAGATTGTCGTAATAGTTGTTTTGAAGTTAAATTATAAAAAATAACAACACCATTAATATTTAAGACTAGAATAATTGTTTGAAAATTTAAAAGAAACAGTTCGTGTTAGTTTCTTTTTAAACCGTAGTCACGTTTGCTATACACAGACAATTTTGTATCAGTATTTAAATAGGCCTACAGACCCATTACCTATTACCTACAGATCAATACAACGGAATTATTTCAAAACCAAAAAAATCTTGCTGCAAAACGAAATAACATATTATATGTCTCATAAAAATTATTAAAAATATTTATGTCACAAAGAGGGCTAAAACAACTGTTTGCTTCTTATGAATGAACACTGTACATAAATATATTTACGAAGGAATAAAAGAAACCGCAGTAATCAAACTCGGCAGAAAAAAAATGTAAACTGAAAATACACCAAACTGTGCGACAATTATAGTGTTCTGAGAAATTTAAATTCTCGTCGACGTTTTAACTTCACTATTTAATCGTAAAATTGGTTACCAAATTTGATCGGTTGGTTATTAAAAGTCAAGATTAGTTATCAATACGTTGGCATACAAAGACAAACGAATGTCCATTGGCAGTGGTGGGGGTGTGGCTAAGTTGTGCACCTGCGTGGTACATTTCAAACGATTCATGTCAGGCTAACAGTGGAGTCACGCGGTTTCGAGACTGTCAAATAATATTGATGGATACAATTTAAAACTTATAAAATTGCCATTATTATATAACTTTGTAAATTGTTAAACCATGTTTTATAAGACACTTGGCAAAAAGTTGTATTATTTATACCTAAATAATGTAATATTAGTAGGAGGGAAAGTAGTTGTATCATTTTTAGTTCCATTTATGATTAAGAGACTTTTAAATTACTATAAGCCCCATATAAATTCATATAACTGTAACTTATTTAACCAAACAATCATCATAAAGAATCTAGAAACATTTTAACATTTCTAGAATATCCATTTATAATTCATTACAGAATCTTTCGCCGCACTTAGTGGTGTTCTTGTCCCTTAAAACCATTTGACCATTAATGTGTCAAATACAGTCAACCGTGAGTTCATTGTAATTTATTTGTGTTATAGCTGAAATTTAGTCCATTATATAAAAATGGTTTGGTTTTCAAAATAATAAAAGTATCGCGAAGGTTTTACAGGTTTGGATTAAGCTGATTTATACTTATCTTTATTACTTTTCATTGAAATTGCAACCATACAAAGTAGGTATTTTAAGTATGAATGGAGATGAGGGTAGGATGAGTGGCGCGATCTTGTCTTGTTAGTGACTAAGGCCGATATTTTCCTTAGACACAGCTGTTAATTAGCCCATACAGCTAATGGCAACTAAGGGACCTACTACCTAATTAATTGATTATACAAACTTTAACCAAATTACTGTTAGTTTGCAATGGTTTGGTTGACTTGAACAACAGCTGATGAGTGGTCGGTAGTTTGATCTTGAAACTCATCCAACAATGAATTCAATACAAATTTTTACGAAATCGAATGGGTTTACAACGGCATTTTATATCATAATTATTGCAGCTACCTCTGGATTAGAAAGCATCCTAACTAGAGGTAGTACTCTAAAACTGTGTTTCAAAATTTATCTCAAAGCAAATAGTGTGAACATTACTTATCTTGAATTGGCAAAAATATACAAATATTATCTCTTTGTTAAAAAAAATCTTACTTTTTAAGGTGTGTGCACTAATCCAAAAACATGTTAGGTATATTAAAATTGTAAAAAAATTATATCGAAATAAACAACAAAATAATAACAATATAACTTTACTACTTTGTCCACAACAATCTGTTAATAAAATTATTCACATTAAATACTTTCAATTTTAAAACTTTTTAATTTTAAAATTAAAAACTTTAAATACTTAATTAGGGCTAGAAGCCAGGTTGATACAGCAGCAGTTATACAATCTGACTTATTTCCTATATATAATCAACGAACAATCAAAATATAAGTATAAATAAACCTGCCACATGGTTGTACAAAACATTAAATTCCTATTTAGTTTTTAAACCAGCTGTGTGGAATGAATTAATGCGCATTTGACAGTTCTGCTTGTTTACATTGAAATGTCATAGCAAAATGTAAACAATGTGAGTGTTCTCATTGGAGTCTTGGATACCAATCAATATCTACTTTTAAATTCCTCACCTCAGAACTTGAACTGTGGGCAAAGCCATCGGTCAGAATCGAAGTATGAATATTCCTAAACGGATCTTTGGTATAGTAGCAATATTTTTGTAAAATTTAAGCCAATTCGGTTCAGTAGTTTACGTTATTAAGTAACACACAAACACAGACGAACACTATTATATTTGTATATAATGCTTTAGATTTTTTCAGCTAAACTGTTCGATCAAGACTTGTATGCTTTCAGCAAATAAATAGCTTACTTGAATGCTATTTTTAAGTTGGCAATGTGGTTTAATGTAGTTTGATAACTATATGAAAATGTAGCTGCAAATATAACAGAAAATGTTGTTATTGTTACCAATTAATTGAGATGGGGACGCCACCCCTAAGTGCCTCATAACCTAAATATTACTGAATGATGAATGTAGGATAAAGATCCTTGTATAACTTTGTTACCGACTAAAATGAGTTGTTTCATTAGTCAAGACAATTTATCAAAAGCCAATGATCAAGGACAGCTAGGTCCTTTCGACAATATTATTTATTTCGCTATTATAAGCTTCAAACCATCGAAAAGCCATATTTTCACAGGATCGAACCGGTGACCTTTTATTACAAAGCTGACGGCAATGAAAAACTTGCAAATTTTTACTAAGGACTTCCGGACAATATAAATATGATATTTAGATATGTTTCTTACTCAGGAACAATGCCCTAAAATATTGGTAGAGAGTTCCGGGACACCCTGTATATACTACCATATTACAAGGCCGCAGCGACTAAAGTGGCAACGCCGCAGCCCCGGCCAAACCGAAACAGATGTTACTAATAAAGAGGAGGTTATGCTTATTCAGTACATGCCTGGGAAGGGTTTGTTTGATATTATTTCACATTTTAAAATTCCTTAGAGCACCTACTGTCCGTGGCTTTATAAATAACCATGTTAAGTGTGAGAAAATGAATTCGGCGGAAATATTGACCACATTAATATTGTAAAATTATTTGATTACACAAACGATTGAAAGAAACCAAATAGAATATTTTGCAAAACTGCTAAGTTACGTGTTTTATGGTGATACGAGTTATAAAAATGATACACAAGATAAATACGTAAATATTTGTCACTATTGAAATAGTGATCTGACACGCAATTTCTCCCAACCCACCAATCCTTATTATGGATAAGTTGTTGGAGTAACTATGAGTTTTTTATGGGGAAAGTTACAAAAGTTGCAATTTTGATCAATTTTGTTTACATACAATGGAGTTGTACTGTTGTACTATAAATATATAAACTGTATGATTAATTTTCCATGTCATCATAAAATCTATAAAACTAATTAATCTGTCAATTCGCACAAAGATAATAATGTATTTATTAATTTGGGACAGTGTTAAATTGTATAGGAAACTACATTAACAAGCTTTTGTTAATATATCATATATAATATATGATGTTAATATATCATATATAATATATGATGTTAATATATCATATATAATAGCAATAGTTACTAAATAAAATGTGATAACACGGAATAAATTAAAATGTTTTAATTTTGTTTACATTTTTTGACTTAGGGGTTTAATTGGGGATTTACGAATTCAAAATATTGATTTCGGGAAGTTAAATATTAATACTACATGGATATAATTAGATGAAATTTAATGTTTACATTTTGAGGGCTCAGGTCGGCCTCCCAGCTAAATACATTTATAAATTTTCACTCCCTTGTAAAGTACTGGTATGGCTTTGCCATTCAATAATAAAAAAATAAAAAATCATAAATATTCCAATGTACACATATATACTTAGTCTGCGTTTATATAAGTTAATGTATCGAAATAATATATTTCATAACAAGAGTAGAAAGTGAGTCACTCATTACATATTTGAGACCATGTTTGAAGTTAGAGATTTTATCGAGCACTTTTAATGGTCGATAATATGTATAGACCCACTTTCACTCGTGTTTTGAACGTTACTTTACACTACACTACAAAGACTAATTATTTTCTTGAACATTACAAAACTCATAGCAAAAAATACATTATAAAATTGGAAAATCATTCAAATCATCTTGCACTTAATTTATTGGACAATCACAACACCATTTACAGACTGAAGCGACATACGATATTGG